TGAAAATCTACTCCATCTGACTAAAATAGATTTTTATAGTGCTTCTTAATCAGCATCTTCTCATCCAGTATTTCTAGTGTACATGACTAATGCAGCAAACATGATGGCAGCAGAAACAACTTTGCCACTCATGCAAATCTTAAACAAAAAGAAAAAAATCACATCTTTAGGAGTATACTTCCAGTCTTAAATCCCGAGTATGTCCAACTGAGGCAAGGAAGGAAATGTACAATTTCTTTATTATTTATGCACTTAAGAGTTCATATGCAGAAGTGGAAATGGATCCTGAGTCTTCATCAATTACGTTAGATGGGAAATTGAGGCAGATGCAACTTTTCCCATTCCTGCAACTTTATTAGCAGGGCTGCAATGCTGAAGTTCCCAAACTTACCAATAAAAGTACAGAAGCCTTGTTTTTAGTGCCTCTGGTTATCCTGCCACTATGGTAAACATATTGTGCAAGACAGGCCTGCTCCCACTCATATTTAGGAACAGAGCAAAATAAAAGCTCCTGGCATGACTGGTAACATGAAAATGAAGTGAAACAATATGTAGCTCAATCTCCCATATTCTTTGGGTATGAAAGAAAGGAAACTTTACAAAAAGCTCTTCTAGATAACTACCAATGTTTTATTTTTGGGGGGTGATACAGGAATGGTTAGAAGAATTATAGACATTATAGAAACAACTGGTGGAGATGTCAATAGCAATAATATTCCTGCATATATTTCCTGTCTACTGAGATCAAATGGATGTTCTTAGAAATACATAGACACAGATAACTGTAATAGCTCCTAGCAGCATAGGAATACAGCATGTGATTTTTTTTATTACAACTCATTTTCATATTGATAGTATAATCCTTTTCTATGCCAAATGTTCCTTGATATATTTGCAAAACTGCACTTGAGTACTGTACATTGGCATACAAGTCATTAAAGCTAGGAAAACAATATATGCACCATTAGAATTAAAAGTATTTATCTCTCTCTGTATTCTGTATCCATCTGCTTGAATATAGGTAGATCCCAGCATTAGTGATGCTGACAACAAAGATTTTAAATCAATAAGTTAGCTGTACAATGTCTGTGCTACAGAAAAAAAATACATCTGAGTATTTAGCTTTTTGATAAATGGCTGATTATTTTTATATAGGGCGATTAAAAAATAGAAACTGTAGAATATAAGGGAAATTGCACCACTCCAGCTCCTACTGAAAGTGAACTGTTTCTAAAAACTAACAATATAGCCATGAACAAAGGGGAGATGAAAGGCCAACACCTAAGTGGGGGTGGGGTAGGGGCAAAAATGAATTCCACAGATGCTTTGAAGAATGATTGATTTGCTGAAGGAAATTCATTAAATCAGATTCTCTGAAAAGGACATGAATCTTCAGAACTTAAAAAAAAACCACCATTTTTTGCCATCAGAAATTAGTGAAAAGTGGGAAATTAAGTGGATGAAATAGATTTGTGAGATCTGGAAAAAAAAACTGTACAATCCTCAAAATCAGTATCTATCACACCTCTCGTTTTGCTTGCTTCCTAATCTCTTCATTAAACTGCTAAAATGTAATGGCAAACTAGTACTCAAAGTTTCAAGACAGGAGCCTGACACTGACATTTTCAGTTTGACCCCAGTCTCTTGGCTTTCTCAAGCAAAGCTTTCTTGCATCATTAATATGAAGCTGAGGAACAATTTAGAAATCCTTTTCATGTGTAAAACATCAGTTGACTAATTAGAAATTAGAATTCAGAAACAGAAAATCAACCTTCACTTCAGATATATCATTCGTTTAGTAACAAATCAACATTGTTATGCATGTTCTTTGTGCAGCAGAATCAAGGTAATTATATAAAGAACAACTGTTCAAAAGTCCAAAGACAAGTTGCAGTGCAATTCTCTGCATGTTTACAGCAAGGCAAGTTCTACTGAGTCCAAAGAACATCGTCCTAACTCAAGGTACCCAATATTGCAGCTTTATATACAAAATCTTGGATTCTTCCAAGTTTGATTCCTCCCCTCCACCCATACTTTCCAAATTATTTGAGATACTACTAGAGGGCTGAGGCAACATTAACAGAAAATGTCCCTCTCTGCTTCTTCTTTCCAATCTTTCTAATGAAATTATTTGAGTAAAAAAAAACTGAATGAAATTATTTGTTAAATTCACTTTAAGATAATTTCATTCAAATTGCTTTGTCTCACTCTGGCACATCAAAAAAGCTGACCCTACACAAACTACAAACCTAATTCCAAGTGAATGCAAATTAACACATACATATCTGACTTTAAATTTATTAGGTGTTCAAGCTTTTTCTCCTAGAGTTAATTTATATTTGCTGTATAGCATGAGCTGTCACCATTCTAATGAGTTTCTCCTACTTTCCTGAGTAATAAAAGGAGTTTCTATCATGTGTAGCATGTGAAAAATAATAGAGCATACTTGGCTAATTGGTTCAGCATTATCCACCTTATTACCTAAATGTTATTAAATAAGATACTTGGTATTCTGGCCAAATTCTTCAGGCCAAATGAAATAGCAATAATACAAGGAACACAAGGAGGCGTCTGTTCTTTAATATGAAGAACAAAAGCACTGGGGAAATGTACAAGAAGGAGAAAGAAAACACACCCCTACACATCATCTTGTTTGTTAGTGCAGTTTTTAACCTTGTACAATGATTTCCTAATAAGTTTAAAAGTAAAAGAGAGATTTCTCAGATCACTACCAGGCTCACGACCATCATTTCCCGAGATGCTTTTAACATTTAACAGTTCTGAAGTTAACTATACAATAGGCAATTAAACCATATTATCAGCTCAAATAATATTGCTTCCATAAAGTGAAAATGCACTGTATTGTTCAATGAAAAGCAATAACATCCCTATCTAGTATTAAGAGTACAGTGTTGATTTAATTAATACAGAACACTACTCTTAAGATTTAATACATACCTCACCCTGGAAGGTCTTCCTTAAAGAACAGCATGCATCTTTCACACAGCCCTTCCACAGAAGAGTTTTTGTTTCAAATTATATATTTGGCATGATCAGTTAACCATTATTTGGCTGTTATAGATAAGATACCAGGCTTTTTAAAAAAGAGAGAGAGAGAGAGAGAGAGATCCCCAAAGGTTCCTTTTAGAAGGTACTGAATGTGTTGCTTATTGATACTTCCCAGAACATCTCTGTATCCAGGATGAGCAGTATACCCCCTGCCCTACAAACCCACCGCCGTCTAGAGTGGTCTTTTTTTCTCCTGCCTAAAAACCTCACTGTTGGGAGTTTGGCAGTGGGTGGGGAAAGAAGAGATAATAGAGGAAAAATCAATAAGAATGTCTTCCATTATTAATCACCAAAGGGTGAGGATTAAAGATGAAACCTTCCATGTTAGACAAAAGTCCCGAGGGAATCTAGAAGGTTGATTGCTCTAAGAGGTTCTGTGTGGAGAAGCCCGAGTGTGTGTTAACTATAAAACCACCAGTTTTGGGCATGAACGAAGCTGCCTCTTATCCAATTTTGGAGTCGCCCTTGCCATTTAAAATTTTACCCATTAACAGAATTAATGAAAGAGAACTGAAAATTCTTTACTCAGTATTTTTCCATTTTCTCACTAACATAATCACACTGCCTTGATCTCTTCTTGGTCATATTAATTCTACTTGAAGCATGAGGGAGAAAGCAATATCAAATTAACCATACAGCCGAAACACTACAATAACACTACAATTTTAGTTGCTTCAGAATTTCTTGATGGAGACACTTCCTTTGGCAGATAGTACAACCAGCAGAAGCTATCATTAATAACAAATACAGGATTTCTGTTTTTAAGCAAACCAACCAAAAGCCAGGTAAACACCCCTTTGTCATTTTAACCATAAATAGGTGAAGGGCACCAAAATCCAAACTAAGGTGAGGGTCTAGAAGGTACTACTCTTTTAGTTACTAAATGGTGTAAGCACTGTTCTCTAAGGCTACCACAGAGAAGTATCTGAGGTAGCCTCAGAGAAGTACTGTATCATTTTCTTCCTATATCAAAGACATTTCTATGGAAATTTAGATTCTGGGACTGAAAAAAAAACCCACAACACAACCCAATTAATAAGCCCACTTGCTTTCTTCATCAGGTGTTGGGGGATTTCGTTTAAAAGCCAACACATTATTCTGAATATCCACCACTTTTAAACAATGGCATAAATTGATTTCATATATTAAAATTTTAGTTTTCAGAGTGCAGAATATTCATACATCTGGTACTATACAGTACCTGAATTGCTGTAGAAGCTTTCCAAAAGATCTATAGATACAACAGTACAGAAGACATACAAATAGTGATCGGAGGACGGCTGAGCGAGTGAACATATATAAACACAGTCCAAGCAAACACGCTCACAATCCACACACACACGGAGTGAGTTAGCTGTGCTGGACGCATCAGGTACCTGAGCTGCCCTTAAGATAAGGTCTCCAGAAAGGTAGCCATTAGAGGAAATAGGTCGCGCCCTATCCGGGCATTACGAAAAAACACTGCTCGGCAACAACTTCTCCGGCTCGGTCCGTTTAGGATCTCACATTCAAATGTTAAGTCCAGATACAGTACAATGAAACCAGGGGAGGTTTTGCGACTGGCTTCGTTCCAACTATCTGAGGACTCAACTCTCGCGGGTCCTGCGCCTGCGGGAGAGGCGCGCTGGGAACGAGCACCTGAACTCGTCCCTCGCGCCTCAGCATCACGACTCCGCCAAATTATAAAGGGCCGGCGGGTCCCCGGCTTTGCAAGCCGGACTGCCCAGCGCTGCTTTGCAGCGCCCCAAGGACAGCCGCGCGGCGTCCCTACCGTCCTTTTTCTGACCTACGGAAAAAAGAAAAAAAAACTACCCCGCAGCGCCGAGACCCAGCCAAGCGCGGCCAGGTTGCGCCTTCGCCCCATCCGCCTGGGTGGCCTCGGCTCCAGAACAGCTTTCGGCAGCCCGCTGCCCCACGCCCAGCTTCCTTACCTTTGTCCTCCTTCACATGGCACCGTCGCCCCCAGGTCGCCGGCTGAGGAGGAGGCAAGAAGACGCACAGAGCGCGCGGTTGTCCTTGTTCTGGGCTGGCTTGGCGCGCCTCGTGCTCTCCGGCGGACAGCTCTCCTCCTGCCCTCCTCAAGAGACGCGCGCCACCTCAGCGGGGATGCGGGCGAGCTTCTCCGCTAGGTAGCGCTGGCTGAGGGGAGGAGAAGAGAGGTTGGACGGGGAGGGCGGCTGGGGAGCGAGCGGGGGGTGTAGAGAGAAGGCGGTGCTGCAGCCGGTGAGGGAGAGTAGGAGGCAGGCAGGCAGGCAGGCGGTTGAAGGACTCGCTCCCTTTTTCTTCAGCCAGTCAAGTCGTGCGCCGGCCCCGGCCGTCCGCGTCCCTCGCCATGTGCTTCTCTTCGGCACTGTCCCTGTTGCCACTCTGAGAGAAGAAGCAGCAGTAGCAGAAGCGTCGCGCACCGCCCTCGCTGAAGCCCAGGCTTCTCCCTCCTCCTCCTCCTCCCTCCTCCACTGCTGCTGCGGCGGCTGCTACGGCTGTTGCGCTAGCCCGACGTCTCCCCTTCTTCACAGCTTGCCTCGTCGAAGCACACCCCTTCTTTCCTTCTCCCGGTCCCATTTATGAAGCTCCCTAGCCATCACGTGTTAACGTGCCTTTGTCCTGTGGCTGGCCGCCGCGGCCAAATCGCGGCAGCCGCCACTAGAGCGGGAGGAGGGCGCTGAGGACGCCGCCAAAGTTCCTCGCGAGCCGCAGATCCGGCCAGGCAGATTTGCGCTCTCCAGGCGCTGTTGCGCCCACGCGCGTCTTTTTTCTTTTTTTTCTTTTTGGCGCAGTTTGGAAACGCCAGGGGCCAGTTTGCTTTCGCAGGTTCCTTACGAGAGGAGACCTATTGATTCTATGGGATTTACATAAACGGCCACGAGCGGTTGTTTTGCTAGGTCAGCTCTTGAGTCGGAACAAGCGAGATGATACGGGCTGAGATATGTCCTTTAGCGGGAGCAAAGAAAGGAAATGGGGCGGGGGTTGGCGGGGCAGCGCCGGAGGTCTGCACGCGGCAATCGCGCGAGCGGGCTGTTTTTTGGGGCGGAGGGACAGAGTGGCTACTTGAAACCTGTAGGGTCCGGAGCAGCTGCTCAGTGAAGGGTGCGGGGTGGGGAGAGAGAAAGAGCGGCCTTCGCACAATGCCGTCCCCTCGGAGAGCACAGCGTGACGCCTTTGTGGGCGCGCTCCCACACTTCACGGATGTTTTTCCGTTTTGAAAAACAAAACAAACCGTGACACTGATATGCAAGCAGCTGAAGCCTGGGACAAAGGCGAGGTGGATGCCGATTTAACGAAAATAATGCTAGCTTCCTTGTTTATAACATCATGATAATAATGCTAGCCCGTTACCAATAGCACGGTGGTGATGGATCTCGCTTTGGTGAGGTATTGGAACGCAACAGGCATTTTGCATGCGCGCGCGTGGTGTGCGAGGGCGGCCGGGTTGAAGGAGTGAGGTACTGTTTGTTCCATCCTAGGGAGAAATGAAATGGAGCCGCACAGAATGAGCTGAGGAGTTTCCATTCGCGTGTGTTTTTTTCCCCCTCTGGACTGGGTGCTAAACAAAAGCAGCGCCGTGGTGTATCTGCGCCTTTGATGTGAAAAGGCAACCTGAGGCTACCCCGTGTCATGGCCGAGACTTCTGCCGCTACCTCCTACCCGCGCCAACAGCTTAGCAACGTGGCTCTCTCCCCACGCCCCAGCTTCCTTCTTGGCAAAGCTGCCGCGCTTCCCCCGCTCATTTAGTCTGGGGCTTTAAATTATTCATATTAATTACCAGCGCCTTAGTTGGCTAGGCGGTTGGTAATCTGGGACTGCAGAGATTCCCTATTATTCCGCAGTCGTCGCTCGTCCTCTTGCTCCCCCCCCATAACCACCTTGAGTGGGATTTGGAGAGGACCGTCTCTTCAGGGACCGCGCTCTCCACCCTTCCCCCCCCCTTTTTCGCCACAGCCCGATCCGGCTGCTCAAAAGCACGAGGCGGCGGCCGTGTTCCGCTGCCCTGAAAAGGCGCGCTTTCTCGCCGCCCGGTCGCACTTCGCAGCCCGCGCTCAGGTCGAGGCGTTCCGTCGGCTTGAAGAGCGCAACAAATTGCGCAGCCAGAGCTTCAAGCCGAAGCGGGGAAAGCAGGGCGGCGTTTCTTTTCCCGCCCCGCTCGGTTCAGGAAAGTCGGAAGGGTGGGGAAGGGCGCGAGGCGGGTTATTGCACTAGCGCGTGAGCTCCAAGAAGGGAGGGGAAGCGTTAATGGGAATCGGACGTACCGGGGCAAAGGCCGCTGCTGCTGCTGCTGCTGCTTCCCGTAGGCACGGAGCTGCTGCTGCTGCTACTGAACTCCGGCAGACGTTGCTCTAAGCAGAAACAAGGCTTCATGCACTGCTAGAGTGTTTGTTGTCGTCCGCCTGGTGCCTTCCCGCGTCTCATTTTCACCACGGATCAATTTGACAGTACTGTACAACTACCTTACTCCAGGTGCTATATCCACCACTTCCAGCTCGCTTAGCACATCCGGACAAAAATAAGAAGTGCCTCCCCAATTTGTGGGGCGAGGCTCTGCCCGGGTCAATCCACAAACTGCCCCAAACATGATCTTGGAGCACTCAATGAGCTCTACTTACTAAGTGGTTTTTGATGGTTCCTCTGAAAGAAATTCACAGGCATTGCTTTTGTAACTCTGTACAACAACCCTGTAAGGTAGGCTAGCCTTATTTATATCCTAATGGGCAGTAGGTGAGGCCTAGAGAATCCACAGTTATCTAGTGGCTTGCCCTCCTCATTTTTAACGGTGCCACCTCCAGGCCAATTTGGTTTCACAGCTTCTCTAATGCAGAAGCCGCTGTTCACATGCAGAGTGATTCTGTGCATGCCTCCTTGAAGGTAGCTTTGCCCTTCTTGTGCTCCCAAATAAGCCTATGCAAGATTGCAATGGGAACGGTTGTTGTTTTTAGTTGTTAAGTTGTGTTTGACTCTTTGTGACCCCATGGACCAAAGCACACCAGGCCCTCCTGTCTTCCACTGCCTCCTGGAGTTGGGTCAAATTCATGTTGGCAGCTTTGATGACACTGTCCAGCCATCTTGTCCTCTTCATCCTCTATCGTCTCCTTCTCCTCTTGCCTTCACTCTTTCCCAACATCAGGGGCTTTTCAAAGAGAGTCTTCTCCTCTCATGAGATGGCCAAAGTATTGGACTCTCAGCTTCAGGATCTGTCCTTCCAGTGAGCACTCAGGGTTGATTTCCATCAGAATGGATAGGTTTGTTCTCCTTGCAGTCCAGGGGACTCTCAAGAGTCTCCTCCAGCACCACAATTCAGTGGCATCAATTCTTTGGCAGTCAGCTTTCTTTATTGTGCAGCTCTCACTTCCATACATCGCTACAGAAAAAAACATAGCTTTGACTATGC